CTAGCAGCAGGCAACTCCTCAGGTGGTAATTCCAATAGCCGATATGGATATTGGGTCTCGTCGCGGTCCCTGGAACTTATCGATGCTCGCCAGCACATTGCGGGCTGGAAGCAAACACAATGAGACTGGAAAAGAGCTCCGGGCAAAACGCCGTGGTAACCTGAAGCTGGGCCGCGAATTCTGGCGGTCTCTTCGTGCGTCAGAGATTGAAGTGGCCTTTGCCCTTGGTAACCATCGGGTTGTTCCGTCTGATACGGGAAACGGGCAGTAGGAGACCTGGTGTTAGTGAAACAACTTATCACTAGAGTGAACAGCATATTCACAACTTATCAAAACGTTTGGAACGCTGGGCTGACCATTTTGTAAAGCAATTTAATCGGCCGGTATTGTTGCACACCTCACCGGCAAGTGATCGCCCGGCTCCCTGGGCTGTGCTTTTAGATCCGCCCTCTCGCTCAGAATTCGAACGTGAGATCGGACTGTTGAAGTTGAACAAAGCCGCGGGACTAAATGATCTTCATCCAGCCCTCTTTAAATTCGCGAACCCTGCTCTTTTTGCGAATCTTCACCAATTACTAGTGAAACTGCGCGAGCAGGAAATTGTCCCAACCGACTGGAGCCGCTGCGTTATTGTGCCGATATTTAAAGGAGGCTCGCGTTCAGAATGTGGTAACCATAGGTGAATCAATCTGATCCCATCACCTCCAAATTGCTTGACCCTGTAATCCTACACAGACTGTCTGGCGCTCGTGAAATCCAGATTGGTGAGGATGAAACTGGATTTCGGCGAGATCGGAGATACATCGGTCAGATATTCACTTTTCGTCAGTTGTTGGAGCACCGTCACATATATTGGCAGCCCACCCTTGTCTTGTTCCTCAACATAAAAGGTGCCTTTTATGCGGTTGATTAATGTGCCCCTTGGGATTGCCTGATCAGTAAGGGTGTGTTCAACAAATAAGGAAATATTATCCGCGCACTAAACGCGCGTAGCACGGGCAGACTGAAGGCCTCCGGCAAGCTGTCGCCGCCCTTCAGTATCTCCAGCTGTGTGAGACATGGATGCCCACTGTCAACTTTCCTCTGCAACTTCGCTATTGACGAATTCATGGAGATTTCATGCACAGCACACGACTTAGAAAGTGTGGAGCTACTCGCAGGAGAACGACTTCTCGACTTGGAATGTGCGGAGGATATTGCCCACATCTGCGACAGCTTACAAACGTGCCAAGCTGCAGTGAACAGATTAGCATTGGCTGTCAACCACTTCGGGCTTTGCTTCACATCATCGAACTGCAAAGCTTTCCTCCAAGATTGACAGGGGTCGCCTCCTGCGCTGAATCTTGGTGAGGATCAGCTAGAAGTCGTTCAGAAATTCTACTACCTGGGATGTTGTAACAGCACCCTTGGGATCGAAGATGAGATCAGGAACGGTATAGCAAAAGCTCGAGGTGCTCTTGCTAGCGTTCGCCACATATGACACCGGCGCAAATTCACTCTTCCCCTGAAAGGTAGAGTGTACCATGCAGCGGTACGTTCGACCCTACTATACAGTTGTGAAACGTGATCCATTAGATCAGCCGACATACAAGGCTAGTTACGTTCGACCACCGGTGCCTTCACAGTTTGGCTCACGTTTGGTGGGAACACCGTGTGAGAAACGAGCGTGTTCGACACCTTGTTTGCCGCTCAGCACCGTTATTTCACGCACCAGGCTCCGATAGCTCGGCCACGTGTTAAGCATGCCAGCCCACCGACTCCTGCGACGTGCGTTGTTTGCTCACCGGGGGTGTGGATGAAAGAAGAGGAAGGGTGGCCAAGCGATGACTTGGTCAAGAGGAATAAAGGCCATCACTTCGGAGCTGGCCTCGGTTGGAGCTTCACGACTCTCTGGTTGGGGTCCAAAAGACGATGAACACGCTTGGCTAGATGCACTTGCTCACATGGCTAGGAGCCAAACTCAGTGGCATTCGTGCTGTGAGTTTTATTGTCTCTCCCCATCCCTCTTAGCCAGCACCTCTAACTACGATCACAATTCGTGGCATAAGATAATTTCACATAATAACTTTTGTTGCTTAGTAACCGGATGATAGCTTTCCGGAACGATGCCCATCCGTTACTCGTATCTCAGCTGGCATGCAACTGTTGTATTTATTCTTTTATTTATTGTTGCACAGTAGCTGAGTTCTTTTACACATCTAGCTAACGTGTATAATAAATGATTGAATGAATGTACTCGTACAGAGAGCGTTTGCAATGTTCGAGCCATATATCATTCCTCTAATGCTGAACGCCTACGTGAGGCCCCATGTGGAATGTGCTATCAAAGCCTTACGTCTCTGGCCCAGTGACGATGCCGGTGGGCTTGAAGCACCATAACGTAAAGCGATCAAACCCGTATTGGAATTTTCACCTAGGTGTTTGGCACATGAGTTTAACTGTAAGGCTTTAATAAGTAAAGAAAAAAGTTTCAATCTTTACCTGTGTTACTATGTCAAAACTGTTCTGGCGATACAAAATACGAAATACCTGCATGTAACAGCTTCCGTCTTCTCACCGCATTGTTAAAATCGAGATCAGTTAGATTACGTTGGACATTAATACCAAACATGGAGGTAAACCAGAGTGCGGCGAAGAAACAGCGAGCCTTTTTATATGATTCTTCACCGCAGTTGGGCTAAACCAACTTACACTTAAACTAGGTCTTTTTAATGTGGATAAAATTCATCACATCTTCTTTTGTTTGCCTACTTAATAATCTTTTCCCAATTTTCACAGGTCGCTCATGCGAATTGTTGTAAACTTGAGTAAGTTTATCGCGTGGTATTTTTAAATAACTTTCGGACATTTTGTACTCCACGCGTATTCACATTTAACCAATTTCTTCCATATGCTCATTTAGCGAGTATTTATGTCGTCATATGCGTTTACTTTATTTGATATCGACATTTCGAATGATTGGCTGTTGTTTGACATCCCAGGCGTGGCTGCGCTTGATGTGCATGTTGACCAGGTGCCTACCTGTCTATTACACACTACCTCGTCCATACCGGCTCCAGGAGACAGCTGGTCGTTGCTGGAGGGGACGAGGTACACGGTCCTCGGAGATATAAAAGGCTCCAAGAGCGGTTCCATGCACTCAGTGTGGAGCGGACTACGGTCCAGCTACCGCCTTGTGTGCGTTTGATTCCCCAAATACAGGGTGCTTGTGTTTGCCTGTGAAGGAGTGTGGGCCGGCTCCACTGAGGAAGCGTGGTTCCCATCCACCTGCCTCCCGGTCTTATTCCTTCGGGTTTACACTGGATATGGTTTGTGTGCTTAGAGCTGTGGGTGGTGTAGTGCAAGCCACCCATGGTCCCTCTGTAGGCGCATGCGTCCTGTGGCTTGCCACAGTGACAGGCAAATCCGAAACCGGATGCCACCAACCAGATATATATATATATATATATATATATATATACATATATATATATATATATATATATATATATATATATATGTCCAACAAGAACGTTAGCATAGAAGCACCGCACGTTTCATACCCTGACAGAAAACGGGTACCCACTTGCTTTCTTCGCTCACGTTATCAACCAGATAGCAGAAGTTCAATTACGCGTCGTACCGAAATTGAAAGTAATGCTGCAATTTTCGTTTTAGGGGGACGATATTAGCCAAGTATTGCAACGACTTTTGAAATCCGCTGTGGCACGTGAGTACCGTGCGACGCAACCGGTATTACTCTACACGACGACTTGCATCTATACTCCGTTTGTTAAGCCACTCGCACCTCTGTCTAACGGTTCACACGTCCTGTACCAATTAACGTGTCGTTGCAAGACCGACTATGTGGGTGTGACAGAGCGTCGGCTGCAGGTGAGAATTGGAAGCCTTTGCCCCGAGTGCTAACGATTTGCCACACAAAGTTCTAGTCTCGCCAATCGCCCGACACCTGCTGACAAACCGACACAACTTGGACCCCGCGCGTACATTTCGGGTGATTCTCGTGTCAAATAACACCTTCGTTTTACGATATGGCGAAGCGGGGACCATCACACAACCGGGTCCCACCCTATTAGTACGAAAGGACTCGTTCTTCACATTTGTTCTGTCCTGCTAGTAGGCCAGCTGACAAACCAACAAGTGTGTGATTGTCTGTGTGTCGGTTAGTATCCTTTGGTGAATTCACGATGCCAACTACACCAGATGTTCATGATGCTATGTACATCTGTTTGCACGCAACCTGCAGTACGCACTTGATAATACGTAGAGAAAATTTTCGCCATATAAATCGTGCGGTGCTATCATACTAACGTTCTTGTTGAAAACCTCATGGGAAAATAAGTGCTTCTGCCATATATATGGTTCTGTTTATATATATACCAAGGCGCTAATATGTATGACGGGTTGTTCTATCATTAAATTCTTCATTTTCTTCGTTGTCGTTGATAATTTTTATCGTGGCGACACGAGTTGCGCTAAATGTATCCATCGGATATTGGATGTTAAATTGAATGCAACCGAGCTGAGACAGTTTCAATAGAAACGGCTGCAGAATACAAAGACTGTATCACCTGTAGCTTTTTTTCTTTTTCTTATGCACCCGGTAAGGAGAGTCGTCTGAGTTTGCTGCTTGCATGCCGCAAACACGGGAATACAGTCAACTTGGTCGTACTTATGCACAAGGACGATTAGGACACACATCCAAATTTTCTACCTCATAGTGGTGAACAGATTGTGAAGGGTGAGTTTGTCGCTATTCAAAATTAGGTAACTTGAACACAGTTGCGCGCCACGACATTTCTAACCCCATCTTTGCCAAATGTGATGAGCGCTAGTCCCAGAACCGCTTTCATGCATCTCGTACTGCGTCAAATGGGGTACATTGTCTAGCAGAACGAACATGCTAACGGGTTCCACGATCCGTGTGACATGTAACATCCAAAATGAGAGGTCAACTCACATGAGTGATGAAATGTCAGCTCGGTGGATAGATTGAATTGCTGATCCGGATAGTCAACGGTCGCATCGCAACGGATGTGATAGTCACCGTACAGAGCGAATTGCGTCAGTGATAGCACGTCCCCATCCACTTTGAATGCAAACTCATTCCCGACCAGAATGGTCCAGGTCACATTGGTGGGTGATTGGGGATATCCATCCGAGGCGCATACAAATTGGAAACCGTCAGGATCTTGCGGGATTTGGTGTATATACAACTGAGTCGGGGATTCTATCATAGAATTGCAAAACAAATGTACTCCATAGAATATAGCCATCAACCTGTGGTTATAATTTAAATCAATCCTGTATGCCAATGTGAGGACGATTGTGTTCAAGTATACTCGTAGCTTCATCATCGCTCGCTGTTAGTTGATTAAGGTGTTAATGATACGAATGAGCGCACTGTATATGGTTGTGTTAATGGCGATTTTCGAGACATGCCATCAAACTGTCGAAGGCTATCGATGGTTCGGTTAGAGGGATGCTGCAAGATATAGGGAGCTTCCTTACTGAACTCGTGACTCTGTCTTCATGGTAAGGATGGTTTGACGTACCTAATATCGCATCAAGTTTTTCATTTGCCCAAGGTATAAGCTTTAGGTAAGTCAAGTGCATTGTTTTCCTGGTATCATAAGTTCAACGGGAATAGAAAAAGCCTAGACCACCCGAATCTGACGTTTATTTCACCATAAAAACGATTGCATTCACATGTCGAACTGTCGACAAATGTGGTTCCATGCACTCAGTGTGGAGCGGATTAAGTTTCAGCCACCACTTTGTGTGCGCTTGTTTCTCCACATACAGCGTGCTTGTGTGTGCGTGTGAAGGAGTGCGAGTCGGCTTTGTTGATGAAACGTGGCTCCCATCCGCATGCTTCCAGGTCACATTTCTTCATGTTTACACTGGATATGGGTTGTGTGGATGGACCTGTGGGTGCTGCAGCACAAGCCACCCATGGTCCCTCTGTAGCCGCAGGTGTCCTGTGGCTGGCCACAGTGACAGGCAAATCCGAAACCGCATGCCGCCAACCATGTAGCCATGTGCAGCACATGACCAGTGCACTGGCTTCGACAGCGGCAGAATTCGGGCTGAGCATTAACACAAGCAAACCTGTATGTCTCTTTCGGCCTTCACCACAGGTGCAATCTGCACTGGTGCCGCGAATCTGTATTGGTGAAGCCGTATTGGAAACTACTTCCCGCTTCTGCCACCTTGGGAGGGTGGGGTCGACTCACCAGCAGCTGCGCAGTGAGCTTCGGATTCGCGTTTTGTAGGCAGTGGTGGAACGCGGGAAGCTTGAGTACCGAGTGTGGAACAACCATCAGCTTACCATTAGCACGAAGCTGTTGGTGTACAAATCCATGGTGCTGCCCGTTCATCTATACGGCAGCGAAACGTGGACGATGTACCGACGGGATGAGAGATATCTCGAGCGGTTCCAGCAACAGTGTCTGCGAGGGATTCAGCGCATTGGTTGGTGTGACTGCGTTGCAGACACAGAAGGGTTGAGACAAATTGGAATGTATGCAGTGGACTGTATACTTTTGCTGGGATACCCGAGGTGGCTTGGTCAAGTGTGGCGCATGGATTTGACTCGGATAGCGAATCAGATAATATATGGTCAGTTGAGTGTTGGGAAGCCGCAAGCAGGAAAACGGAAGCTTCGTTGCCAGGACTTGGTCAAGGTGAGCATATCACGTTCTAATATTGATTTCAAACGTTAAGAATCGAAGGTCGTTTATCGGCTCGCATGCCGAGCTCTGATCACGAATGCATTTGCCCAGGTGCAGGAGAAACCCCACGTGTTTGCAGAGAAGAAGCGGCAGGCGCCGATGGAGTGTGCTCCATCTACCTCGAACGCATGGCGCTGTAGCATATGCAGTCGCGAGTGCGAGCCAGGCAGGCTTAATGAGCCACGAACGAGGCCACTCGGGACCAACATCGAAGAGACGACGGGTACTGCTGAGAACGTAGGCAGAACCGGCGCAGCTTTTGCAGATACGCTGCATTTGATTTGCTGACCGCGCGTTTGCGTGCTGAGTTTTTTCTATTTCAGGTGGTTGGTTCGCTATCGTGTCCCAATGCATTTGCACCTCATCTTAGAGTATCCTGAATTATCTCCTATTAACTTGCACTCTTCGCCCAAGCCAATTGTAGTTATCTCAGTTAACATATTCGTGTTTGTGACCTTTGTAAAAAGTATAATTTATCACATCTTAAACTTAGCGCGGATTTGTTGATAACGAAGTTATTACGTATGCTCCTTTGGCGTAGAGTTATGTAATCATTTAGTATGCTTTATTCTACATATATATGTATACATATGTATATATATACATATTTCAAACGCCTACGAATGAACATAGAACCATCAGCAACCATGGGACTAAAAAGGTACGGAAATCTTAAAGGAACACAACGCAACACATTAAAGTCCATAGTTTCGTCAGATGACCTGATAATACCAGGTTACCCAAGCCAAAGTGGGGTGTTGACTTAGGGGATACCACCCCGAGCATTTGGCCGAATAGCCTGCCCGTAAGGCAGCCGAGCGAATTCAGAGAATCGCGCCCATTGGGAGCTGGTGACTGATTGCTCAGTTCATACGCGTTTCGTTTGTTCCTTTGTCAAACAGAGGCCCAATGCTTCCCAGAATTACCGCATAAATTTGGTGGAATACCATGCTTCGCCAGGATGAAGCAAGGGGCAGTGGCTTTATTTAGTGGCGAGTCACATTCGCCACATCACAGTGTTGTCAAACGGACGTTTGTGGCTTTTTATAGGGAGAACGCTTGCCAGGCGAAAACCCACCACGTCCTGAAACACTGCCACCGAAACATTTGCTGGAGCAGGAAAATCCTAAACCACCCAGCTGGCACCACCAGGTGGTTGTTCGGCAAGCCAGCCGGTTGTTATTTGTTATTATCATTACAAGTGTTTGGCTGTTGCTTGATATCCCCGGTGTGGCTGGGCATGATGTGCATGTTGACAAGGTGCCTACCTGTCTATTACCCACCACCTCGACTATACTGGCTCCAAGAAACAGTTGCTGGAGGGGACGGGGTGCACGGTCCTCGTAGGCATAATAGGTTCGAAGAGTGGTTCCATGCACTCAGTGTGGAGCGGATTACGGTCCAGCTACCACTCTGTGTGCGCTTGTTTCGCTATATACAGGGTGCTTGCGCATGTCTGTAAAGGAGTGTGGGCCGGCTCCGTTGATGAAACCTGGCTCCCGTCCAAATGCTTTCTGGTTTTATTCCTTCTTGTTTACACTGGATATGGGTTGTGTGGATGGATCTGTGGATGGTGCAGCGCAAGTCACCCATGGTCCCTCTGTAGGCGCAGGTATCCTGTGGCTAGCCACAATGACAGGCTGCTCCGAAATCCGATGATGCCAAACATGTGTAGCCATGTTAAATGAGGTTTTTAATGTAATGCTGCAGTAATCATTATGTCTGTGCATGTTTGGAATACAAGTGCCCTTTGAGGTGCAAGAATGAAGTCTGTGGAGGGGTTAGAGTCATTTTGATGGACAAGTAGCGGTCAGTTTATTTAGTGACGAGTCACATCCGCCTGGTCGCAGTGTTTTAAGCCGACAATGGTAGATTTCATAGAGAAAACGCCTGTCATGCGGAAATCCACCACGTCCTAAAACACTGCCGCCAAACTATTTGCTGGATCGATATTGACCCAAAACACCCAGCAGGCACTTGGTGCTCAGTTGTTCCATTTTGCATCGCACATTTGTGTTTAAGAATGTCCTGTAAGCGCGATAAAGCGTAGCACGAGCAAATGTTTCCCTCGTGAATGCATGAAAATACTTATTAGTTAGGCCTAGTTTAGACTTACCGTAAAATACGAACTCCATGTTAATTGACTCTCGTGTTGCCGACTCTGGAATGTAATAACAATAGACGACATAACGGCCTCCACGAAAGTTGTCATTGAAGTTGATAGTGTTGTACATCACGTACGGTTTAAAATCCGCTGGATATGAGTGTATCATCATATATGGTGCTGATGCCTGTCCCATGGACTCGGTCAAGCGGCAACTCAGCGTGTGGTATGCGCGGTAAGCGTACAGTCGAGGGAAGAATTCCAAATGTACCGAATCTGGAATTGAATGAAAAAGTATACCGAGGAAATGCGGAGTCAGCGCACTCTTGAATGCATACCTTGTTGTCAGTAAATGGTTCGACATGATTCCGTTCCCCCATGTACATCTTGTGCTTACAGTCCGTTTGAACTGAGAGCAAATGTGCATTTACAAAGCGCTGAGGAGGTACGTCAGAGCCGCTTCAATTTAGGTGCGTCAGGACCAGGTCTGTAAATAAGAGTGAATACCCCTTGGTATTTGATGTCCTCGTGTTACTAAGGCATCTGCATGCTTCTGGATAGTGTTGTTGTAAATTGGATTATGTGGGAAGCATGAAAGTCGCTGTCCTTAGTTTGGAGTCGTTTCAACACAGTTTTCTAACCTCCGGTTACTAATTAAACTCCATTATTTTAAGCAGTTTGAGTACGGTACTGATCATAAGAGAGAAGTGTGAGATTCTGCTGATACAACTCGACGGAACACATCACGACTGGAAACAGTCCATTTCATGATCAGTCTCGTTCATGTCTACAGACACTGAGCCACGCTATGTTACGACCATTTGCATAAGGACATCTAATCTCATTGCCAAATGATCTCCAATTCATTCAGTCATAAGGGTGGAGTACACTTTCGTACCCCGTAGGGAGCAGGAGGGGAAATACATGCTGCTTCACGGAGTGGTTGTTATTCGATCCATTGCGAAATGTGTACTGGCCATTCGATTAAGCTTTAATTCTATTCCTCCATCCTATCTATAACTCAAACAACGTCCTACAGGTCAGCGTGAGCGTTCTGAGCGAAATAACTATGCGACTTATATGGAACCTACTTGGGTACCTGTGATTGAACATTCGAGTGATACGGCCAGATGAAATAGTATAGCTTACGACCAAGATGTAGATGCAATGGTGAACCCAGTGGAAGCAATTCTATACCGGGACCACTTGAGTTCCGTTTTCTGGCAAGTCGTTTATGGACGCGATGCTTCCTGTCCAGCGAACCACCGAACTCAAGATACGCTTGGTTCCTAGCATGGATGCCCAAAAGCCAATGGCTTACTGCTGGGAAGCATTGGTGTAACGCATGAGCACAGCACCAGTCGGTCTCATTATGGTTACTAGTCACTATGTATAGTAAAATATGGCAGAGCGGGCTGTTCGATTTTTACTCCCAGCGAATCGCATACGTGCCAGCAGGCATAACAGGTTGTGTTATAGGTATTAGCTGCTTTGTGGTGACGATGAAGATGGCAATACTAAGGACGCAGTAGGATGCTTGA